GCAGGCAGATTCTTAACCACTGTGCCACCAGGGAAGTCCCAAGGCCAATAAAATTAATTTACTTCATTGAATTTTGTTCTTTAACAGTTTTGGTGATGACAGTGGGATCCAAGGGAGTCTACTAAAATCCTCAAGGACAATGGGAAACACAGGCCTTGGCACCTGCTGAACACTTTTGTTCTCTTTCTCGCTGCTTCTGAAGGCCATGGGTAAGTTCCTCTTGGATCTGAGCTCTGCTCCCTTTGCATCTGAGCTTGCTGCTCTCATTGGTTTTCCAGTCCAGTCTGACAGAGCACCAGTCCCTAGTTCCTCGTCAGTCCACAATACCATTTCTTTGGTTACTGCTGACATCCACAGGTCTATTTCCTCCTCAGTTATTATTTGTTTCTGCTGATATACGCATAAGGTAAAAGAATGATCGATCTATTGTTAAAGGGAATCTTGGAAGGCAAAGTTGCAAAAGATGCATTCAGGTTGAGCACCTAAAAGCTGTTTGAGCTCACCATCTAATCTAAGACTCCCATTCTAGGATAAATTGGTTAGGGAATGGGTTAGATCAGTACTAGGTCACCTGCCAACCTCAAGAAAATTTTTGCGCAATGAGATGCCCTGTAAAACATAAAACATCACAGAATCTCCAACCCAGTGGCACATTCCTGTTAGGGATGAATTTGGTTCCAAGAGACCAAAGGCTTCACTGAAGAAATAGGGTCCTCAAGTTCCAAAGAACTGAGTGTTCTATCTTCTGGCACACCTGCTTATTTTACTTCTAAGAACTATGGTCCTGGAAGCTATAGATACATACAAAAATGTTAAAATCTTACTAAAGAAAACCTAGATTTACAATGACCGTTATGGGGAAAATTCCAGTTAGACAAGGCCATTCATTCAAAAAGTACAATTGTAATCGAGTGTTCCCAAATCAAACCAACAGAATGGGATACCTGTTATTTTAACTGATATGCAGAAGCCTCCAAAAGGCTTCAAGATTCCAAAATAGCTTCATTGAAAGATTCATTGCAAAAGGCTAATGAAGGGACTTCCCTGGCGGTCCAGTGGTTAAGACTCTAAGCTGCCAATGCAGAGGACGTGGGTTTGATCCCTGGTCGGGGAACTAAGATCCCACATACCGCAGGGCCAAAAAAATTTTTTAATAAAAGCACTAATGAAAAGTTAAAGACACAAGAGTTACCCAAAACCAGAGGCTGTAAGACTGACGTGACTCTTACCACTCCCATCTATCTTCCTTTACCTGAGTACTCCCAGTCTACTAATCCTCTATCTGAATCGCCTTTCCACTCTGAAGAGACTATTAGTTACCATTTATTTTATTTTTTGTTTATACTAAACTTTATTTTCATTGATTTCATTTAACATAATTTCAAAGTAGGTCTGTGCTTTAAGATAAGCAAAAGAACAGATATCCTAAATCTCATTAAGAGATCTTTTTCACACTGTTCCTCTGAGCAGGACACGGGGTTTCAGGGGCCCCAGTGGTGATACCTAACATTTTATCCCTGGAGATATTACCTGTAGATACAGAAAGAACAGATAACACCAACACACAAGAATCAAACTGTATGAGGGTACTACAGGAAGAAGCTCTTGTGTTATACTTTATCCACCTCTTTAGGGTTGTAATTATAATGACTGACTTTTTTCTCTGCAAAGTTCAGTGTTGTTTTTTGTTGTTGTTGTTTGTTTTTGTTCAGTGTTGTTTTAAATAAAATGTCAGAATATGTGAAAATGCTGTACTCATTTATCTTAATACACTAAAAATAGTGGAAGTTTAAAAATTCTTCATGAGTCCAATCTGGACCATGACTACCACTGATGGGGTTTACCCAACACACTAATTCCAAGTTTGGTGACCATGAGCAAACTGGCACCCGCAATTAAGCCTGCAGGCATAAATTTTTCAGAGTGGTAGAATCTCATTCCCATAATGCCAGCCAAGGTTCCAGATCTAATGAAGAAAACCTAAATGTTCCTTGGATCCTGAGACCCCTGATAGGCACCCGGGCCCGCTAAACCACCGAAGAGGAGCCCGGCAGCCAGAGACGGGACACTGCGTGCTTTTGCATAGCCAGTGATCCCACTTATCCCACCCGAAGCAACCAGTGCTGCGTAGCCAAAACCAATACAATATAAAGGCACTAGTGGGCTGGAGTCCTTCTGCATTGTTCTCTTTCACTCTGTCCAGACAGATTACACCAGGCCTGCACCTCCTTCCCGAAGGTCTGCACTGGCCGCACATGCCTTGGGGTGGAGAGTCGCCAAAGTTAACTTTTAACATTTTTTATAATTAATTAATTAATTATTTGGCTGCGTTGGGTCTTCGTTGCTGCACACAGGCTTTCTCTTGTTGCGCTGAGCGGGGGCTACTCTTCGTTGCGGTGCGCGGGCTTCTTATTGCGGTGGCTTCTCTTGTCGCGGAAGACAGGCTTTAGTGCGTGGGCTTCAGTAGTTGTGGCACTCAGACTCAGTAGTTGTGGCTCTCGGGGGTCTAGAGCTCAGGCTCAGTAGTTGCGGCGCACGGGCTTAGTTGCTCCGCGGCATGTGGGACCTTCCCGGACCAGGGCTCGAACCCATGTCCTCTGCATTGGCAGGCGGATTCTTAACCCCTGCGCCACCAGGGAAGCCCTTAACTTTTAATGATCTCCTTTGGGTATCTTTCAGTCCTTTGTCACAGACTAAGGGCCACAGTTAAAGAATTTTTCCTAAACACAGGGATCATCCCCAAAAGTATTTTGAAGAATTGAGTCCTCATCTGGGCTGTCAGATCTTCACCAGCTTGTGCACATGTAGGAAAGCCCCAGAATGGATGCAGGAGGCAGAACGGTGTAACTCTGAGAATGATACTCAAGATCCTGGATCTCCAACATGGTCCCCTTGTGGACCAGAAAAAGCTCGCAAAATAGCAGTGGATATTTTAAAAGCTCTTCTCAAGGTTTTCCCTGCCTGCAGTGGTTGCTCTATTATTCACACCTGCAAACAAAAAAGATGAATTTAGGGCAGACTTTAAAGCCCATCTGGAAGCTCTCTTCCTACGGCATTCTGATTTCCATACAATAGATGATGCTGCCCAACCTGCTCTAACTGCCTTATTGGTAAATGTATTTTCTCCCCTGAGATAAGTGGATTGATTAAAAGGCAGAAAATAGGTGGGAAGTCACAGGTCTGACCAAATTTTGAGTTGTTTATATATTTTGGAAATTAAACCCTATTGGTCGCATCGTTTGCAAATACTTTCTCACAGTCCTTAGGTTGTGTTTTCCTTTTGCTTATGGTTTCCTTTGCTGTGCAAAAGCCTATAAGTTTAATTAGGTCCCATTTGTTAGCTGAGCACTTTGAAAGGATATCTCTCTTTTTTTTTTTTGGCCGCGCAGCTTGCGGGATCTTAGTTATCTGACCAGGGGTCGAACCCAGGCCCCCGGCAATGGAAATATGGAGTCCTAACCACTGGAAAGGATATCTTTTTATGTGCCCTACAATCTGTCCTTGGTATAGAGAGGAAGAATTCCAGCCCCAAATCCCTAATTTAATCAGTTACTCTAATATCTGCGGGCTACCTCTAATACTGACATTGGGAGATTAAAAAGTGCAGAACCTATAAATATTCAGATAGACGTAACTAAACCTCTTCCCAAATTATCTCAATATCCATTAAAATCCGAGGCCACACAAGACCTCACTTTAGACCAGATCACCCAGGGGCTAACCGTTCCCTGTACCAGACCCGGTGTGTGGCTGTTAGCATAACTGATGCCATCTTGGGCCCTTACAATTTCTACTGTTTTTCGCTGACCCTACCCAGGACTGTACCGTGCAGTGAATCACTTCTCTGTCATCAAGGGCTTTTTAGTTAATAAATATCGTTTAATAATCATTAGGTCCAGGAAGCCTCTATGCTCTGTTAGTCCCCAAACAATGATGAAAACCTTCCCTGACGTATTCCCAGCACCCATGAGACTAGTTACCCGTTCATAAATCTTAACTTACGAATGCACCTACCCCCATATCCTAGGTTAACTATAAAGAATTGTCCCAATGGTCCTTCACTTCTATTCCCTTCTGCCTATAAAACCTCTTGCTTTGTATACTCTTCAGAGCTCCTCTCTACCTGCTAAATTGGATGCAGTCTGACTCAGGAATGTCATGGTCCCAACGCGGGTTGGGAAAGAATTTCCAGATACAAGGCAGAATGTAAAGAAGATAGAATTTATTAAAGGGAAGGGTCACTGCCAGAAGAGCAGGCCGGCTTCCTGATAATCAGGGAGAGCCGACCCGGAGCAAGTGTTGCTGGTCTGTTTTTATATCCAGGGAACAAAGGAAGTTACGAGTCACCTGCTGATTGGGCAGGGTATGCATACTAACAGTGTGGCAGAGCAGCAGAAGAACGGGGCAAATACCTTTCCTTATATGGGTTGGGAAAGGGACAGGGCATGACACTTGGGAGGGATCAGGGATATTGTAATGGTTGCTACATGACAGAGTGATAAGAGCCCGGTAACTCCCTGTCCCTCGATGTTGGCCCTTTGAGTTTATCTTGTCCCTTGTCCTTGGAGCACCACAATGAATTGCTAATTAAAGCCAAAAGAGCTTTAAAATTTACTCAGTTGAATTTTGTTAACGGGAGAAAACAGCTGAAAGCTGTGGTCAGGAAAAATTTTGTGTGCCTGTGGACTGGGAATGAGCAAGTATCCCTGGTTGTGGTGGTGATGGGGGAAGGGACTGTCCTGAACGGAGCCTTCCTTAGGATTTGGTTCCCCTCCTTGAACGGGGCCCCAGAGGGTAATGAGTGGCCCCCTTTACAGCTCCTCCTGGCCAGCGTGGTCATCTAGATCTTGCTGGTCCCTGATTTGAACCCTGGCTTTGATCCCGTTCTTCCCTGGGGGGAGGGAGCTCTGGAGGGAAGCCCTGCACACAAATGGGGAGGGGTGTAGGAAAACAGGATAAGACGGATGGAGCTCTGGGGTACCAAGAGAAGGCAGGCGTCCAGTGGGTTAGGTGGGGTGTGTGGGGACCACCTCCTGGGTTGGGCTCAGAGGTCGTCCAGCAGGGCACTTGGTCCCGGGAGAAGCCGAGACGTCGGCCCTCCCAGCTTCCTAGAGAGGCCGAGAGGCCCGGGGCGGTGACGCGCTTGCGCGATACGGGCCAGCGGAGAGCCGGGCGCGGGGCTACTGGCGCGGCCTGGGTCGTGTGGTCAGGGCACCTAGGAGCTCGCGGCCGCGGGAGTCGGTGAGTGGGGCGGCAGGGCGGCGGGGCGGCGTTGGGGGGAGCGGGGCGGCGGGGGTTGTCTTGGGGGCGCGGGGTTCCCGGCGGGCGACCGGTGAGGCTCGGCCTGGAGGCTGCGCCCGGGCTGGGGTCTGGCCTGGGAGCCCAACCGCCGCGGTGAGGGCGTATCTGCCTGCGCTTCGCTGCCCGGGGCGGGAATCTGGAGTAATGGTTTCTGTGTTTTATCACTTCTCCCAATTATGCAAACAAAGCGTATTCATAACATGTAATTAGATGACGCGGGTGAGCGTTAGAAAAGTGAAAGTACCCGCAATCCGTTGTTTTCGTTCGGAGGCTTCCTGACCTTTTAAAATTTGTGCACGATTATGCAAACTCTTATACATGTACAAATATATATTTTTAAGAAGTGGGATTATTTTACTAGTTTTTAAAGATATATAATCCATATATTTTATTTTTAATTAAAAAAATTGAGGTGTAATCCACATAGAACAACATAGTGGTTTTAGGTGTACAACATGATTCCGTATTTGTATACTGTTGCTTTTAAAAAGCTTTTTTTAGTAGTATTGTGATAAAATGCACATAACATTTACCACACGATACATAAAAATTGATCATTTAAGCCATTTAAAAGTGTATAATTCAGTGGCATTATGTACATTCATATTATTGCTTTTTGAAAATTATTTCGTCTTCAACTTGTGGAATGCATTTGTTCATATAGTGGTTAAATTTGGGGCCAGCAGTGTGACACCACTGAGACATATTTTTGCAAGTATAATTAAAAAAAAAAATTTTGTTTTCCGTAGTACACATTACATGAAGCTGTAAATGCTCAACAAGTGATGTGTATTAGGTTGATTGTTTTCAGAATGAAAGAGTACTATATAAAATACAGTTTTTAAACACAAGGTAAAACTGTAACCTAAAACCACTCTACTGTCTTCTCACTTACATTGGCCTAAGAAATCAGAGAATGTTCACCTTCTTAAAAGTGTGGCGCAGTGGTTGAGAGTCCGCCTGCCGATGCAGGGGACACGGGTTCGTGCCCCGGTCCGGGAAGATCCCACATGCCGCGGAGCGGCTGGGCCCATGAGCCATGGCCACCGAGCCTGCGCGTCCGGAGCCTGTGCTCCGCAACGGGAGAGGCCACAACAGTGAGAGGCCCGCGTACCACACACACACACACACACACACACACACACACACACAAACCCTTTTTGTTTTGAATAATTGCAGACACACAGAGGGTGTCAGAACTTTACAGAATTCCCTTATATCTTTACCTGGTTTACCTAAAGGTAATGTCTTGCATAACTACAGCACAGTCATCAAACTTAAGAAATTTGCAGGGGCCCAATACTATTAATTAAACTGCTGATTTATCCAGAGTTCATCACTGTCTCGCTAATGTTCTTTTTCTGTTCCAGGATCCAGTCTACAATCCCTCATTCCATTTAGTTGTCACGTCTTCTAGTCTCCTTCAGTCTGTGACAGTTCCTCAGTTTTACTTGTTTTTCATGATTTTGAAGTATTTTGTATTTGTGATTTTAGAGTGACCCTCTCGATTTGGCTTTGTCAGATGTTCTGCTTAGATTGAGGATATCGATTTGTCTTCTTACTGGTATACTACTCTCTTTGTTTTTGGTTGTGTGGGGTCTTAGTTGCGGCTCGTGGGCTCCTTAGTTGTGGCATGTGAACTCTTAGTTGTGGCATGCATGTGGGATCTAGTTCCCTGACCAGGGATCGAACCCCAGCCCCCTGCATTGGGAGCGCAGAGTCTTATCCACTGCGCCACTAGGGCAGTCACTAAATTATTCTAACTTTGGCCATTGGGAACGCTTTCAAGTTGGCTCCTGTTTCCCCTTACATGCTCCTTTCCTTTTTTGTGTCTTTCTCTGATTTTCAGGCACCACAAGCTATTCATCTTGTATTTTCACCTCCCCCAGCCCTGGAATCAACCATTTCTGCAAGGATTCCTGGTTTCATTTATTGTAGAATGGTATTGAGAAACCAAATTTTGGGCACTAGGTTGAGTTCATTTCTTAATTGGTAAATTGGCGTAAATGTTATTTTAACATTTTAAATGTGTACTAGAAGCAATCTTTCTTTAGTGGCAATTGTCTTAGAAACTTGTTTGTTTATTATTAGTGTATAAAATAAACCTTATGTACCCTCTCACTGGCAGGAAAAAGATGAGAACAAGAGATTACTTAATGGGGATTTTAAAAGGAAATCAAAATTACATTGCATATTGCTTTGCAATGTTGTGTTGCTTTCTGCTGTGTAACAGGGTGAATCAGCTATATGTATACATGTGTCCCCACATCCCCTCCCTCTTGCGTGAGCAAATATTTATTGATTACCTATTGTGTGTCAGGTAATGGGGACCTATTGTAATAAATATGGCAGCTCAGAATCCTAATCTTATGAAGTTTACGCTGTAATTGGGGAAAAAGGGAATAGGCACATCATTGAAATTTCTGAATATATTACCTAAAAGGTATGTAACCTAAAATGTATGTAAGAAAGAAAACAGAAATTCAGAAATTCATAGAACACCAATGACTTAGATATAATTTAAAAATAATCCTTCTTTGACACATCTGTTGACATAGCATTTCTTAAAGATGTGTCATACTGAAAAATGGGGAATACTATAGTGCCATTCTATTGGCAGATACTCTTGGAGATTCCCAATTAATATATTACCAGGCTCTGAAAAGTTCTGAAAGTAAGATATGTTTCATTTTCTTTAAGCTTTCCAAAGCTTGTATTTTTTTTTTACAAATGCAGCTCTGTAGTTTTTACCAGATCATATAAAAATGTATTTGAAATACTATCATTAAAGAACAGTATAAAGAAGCAAATATAAATCATCTGAAGTCACACCATCCTGAGATAACCACATAAACATTTTGCTGCTGCCGTTCCTTTCTTTCATCTCTCCACATCTGTATAACGACACAGTCAAATGTGTATTTAGAGATTGTTCTAAAATACTGTCCTTATTGTATATGCACTTTTCTCTTTTTTCCTTTTCTCTCACCTCTCCATCCTCCATCCTGAAAATCACTAAAGGATCTGGCTGTTACTTTGTTCCATATTCATATTATCATGTACAAGTTTTTGTGTAAGAAGATGTTAAATAGGATTGGTCCTGTACTCGGAGTGGGCTGAAACCCTAAACAGAAATGATGAATGATAAGTGTCAAAACCATTCTAACCATTTTTAGAGAGAGGCCCCAGAAACATTTTCACGTGACTTATTAAAAGGTGAACAAAATTGGGCCTGTGAATCTTAGTCACCCCCCAACTTGAGCCTATGTGTGAATATTTATTTATATGAAAAGTGTTGGTTGGCCTGACAGTGAGCCAGCATTTCCTCTTCCTCATATAGCAGGGGATGCTATCTTCCCAGGTGCCAATCCAAGTGCAAGAGTAGGGAGTGAGGAAGGCAGTAATAAAGTCCTTTGAGAAGATTAAAGGAGGCTTGCATAAGAAGATTCTGCCATGTTATTTTCTGACTGGATGCTTGTTGACCTAAGGAAACTAACTCATCAGCCCAGCCAGCACCACATCCACTTCTATTACAAAAGAATTCTGAGAATATGATATAGTCCTACAAGAGTTTGGGGAATACGCCATAAAATCAGAGGCTGCTAGAATTCCTCTGACATCAGCATAAGAAGAGAAGATTGCGATGGGAGTAAAGTACACTTCCACAGATGTGGGGCAAGAGGGTAAGTTTTCCATAAGTCAAATGATGCCATAGATGTAAGTAGGCTGAAGCTGCCTTAAAAGAATCCCCTTTCAGGGTACCTGGCAGAAGGAAACGACCCCAAATATAAATCCTTTGAAAAGGAGGTAAGAGAAAAATTTTAAAGGATAAACCAAAAGTGCATCACGCGGGCTTCCCTGGTGGCTCAGTGGTTGAGCGTCTGCCTGCCGATGCAGGGGACGCGGGTTCGTGCCCCGGTCCGGGAAGATCCCACATGCCGCGGAGTGGCTGGGCCCGTGAGCCATGGCCGCTGAGCCTGCGCGTCCGGAGCCTGTGCTCTGCAGCGGGAGAGGCCACAACAGTGAGAGGCCCGCGTACCGCAAAAACAAAACAAAACAAAAGAAAAGTGCATCACTCAAATTAGGAAAAGGTGGACTATAAAAGGCCACTTCATCAAGGTGCCTGGGGTAGGGGTGCCAACGAAGAATCTACAAATGCATTCTCAAGAGGAGCTAGCAGCAGTTGGATGTCTGCCATAACAGACAGCATATAAGAGCCAAGAAAGAACTCCAGACAGCATCAGATTTTGCCTGGTTGCCTCTCATTTCTTTTCCCTGCTCTGACACTGGAAGAATCAGCAAGAAAGTGAGGAAGGCAAGCAGAACAAGATAGAAAAACAGTGAAAGAATAGATGACACTGCATCACTACTCACCCCGTCCCTTCTCATCTTCCTCACTGCCGCTTTGCAGAAGCAAGAATCCAGCCTGAGCTAGGGGTAAGGGAGAAGATTTGAATTGGTTGAGAGATTGAAGTTTTGGTATTAAGTTAGACTGGGTTTTTTATTATCTTTTTAAAGAAATATTTATTTATTTGATTGCCTCAGGTCTTAGTTGCAGCACACAGGATCTTTGTTGCCGCACCTTTTTAGTCGCAGAATGCAGGATCTTTAGTTGCGGCATGCAGGATCTAGTTCCCTGACCAGGGATCGAACTTGGGCCCCTTGCGCTGGGAGTGCAGAGTCTTAGCTACTGGCCCGTCAGGGAAGTCCCGGTTTTTTATTATCTTAAAAAATGGGTGGAATTGCCAAGAGATCTGAGATCAAGATTAATTCAGGGACAAGGAATATCCCAGAAAGTCTGTTTGGTCATCAGTGGAGAAAAGTAAGTTATTTCCTTTTTGCATTCCCTTGAGACTATCACATTTAATAAATAATATATAGATATAGATACATATAGATATCTTGTATATATATATCGTGTGTGTATCACTATTAAATAT